TGTGTGTGTGTGTGTGTGTGAGTGTGTGTGTAGTGTGTGTATGTGCGCATGTTGTACCTGTGCACAATGTGTTTGTGTGTTTGCGTGAATGTGCATATGAGTGTGAGTGTATCTGTGCATGTCTTTGTGTGTGCGGGAGTGTGTGTGTGTGTGTGTGTGTGTGTGTGTGTGTGTGTGTGTGTGTGTGTGTGTGTGTGTGTGTGTGTGTGTGTGTGTGTGTGTGTGTGTGTGCGTGAGTGTGTGCATGTGTCATGTGTGGCTGAGTTCGTATTTATAATTCGGTATCAATTGGAAGAATCGTCTAGCCGTATCAACACATTTGTCAGCGATTAGAAGGTGACACAATGCTTTGGCTTCTGCGTATAACATCACATGCTATGCATTTTCAAAAATGATCTTTCTGTGTGGAGTACAATGTAAAACAAAACGAAAAATGAAGGAGCATTTTGTTGAGAGAGCTACAAATAGTTTAGATAATTAAAATTAAAATAACAGCGATTTTTCCGTTAATCCACCCCTTCTCTATTGTAGACATCCGACAACACGACACGTCTTAGAAATGCCTTGGAGGTATATCTTAAAAGAAAAGGTTTCGGCATCTCTTACTTGACCAGCTTTTATCCAGGAACGGCTCATGTGGCACAACATTTCAACTTGAGTCTGAGGAAATCTGACGGAACAAATGCCATGGCGCCAGTGACGGTCTCTCTGACGTCGGAAAGCATTTTCTGAGTGGGCTTTGTCACCATGGTCCAGCTCTGGCAGCTTTTGGGTTACCTACCGTACACTGCTCCTTAATCGAACATTCATTTCTACTAACCCTATTTCATACAAGATACTTCAAGTTCTTAGTAATGCAGTGAAAAGCTCAATTTTAGAACAGTTTTAACAGCATAATATCAAATGTCCCTCATAATGAAATATTTTTTAGTAATGGGTAATACGAATGCAAAAGTAGGGACAACAAATGATGGAACAGAGGATAATGTGGGATACATTGGAGTTGGAATTATAAGTAACAACGGTGGAAGGTTAATACCAATGTTTCAGCTGAATAGCCTTGTTGTAGGTGAAATACATAAATGAAAATGTATCCTTAAACGTGCTTGATGTACATCAGATGGAAACACTGAAAATCAAATAGATCTAGACCATATCTGCATTAGAAAGAAATTCCCGCAAACATAGAGGCGCAGGGTTTCGATCAGCTCATTTCCTCTGGTTGTAATAATTTTTTTGTGTAGATAATTCCAAACACTCAGTGATTTTAGATACTTTTGCTGTCATCATCATCATCATCACCATCATCATCATCATCATCATCATCGTCATCATCATCATCATCATCATCATCATCATCATCATCATCATCATCATCATCATCGCCGTCGCCGTCGCCGTCGTCGTCGTCCTTATCGTCGTTATCGCTTTTGCCATTGTCGTCGTCTTTATTACGATTACAATTACATAGTAAAACCTGTCAAAAACACAGGCTTAGTCGTTTTAAAGCGTGCCCAAGCTATTTCAACTACGGGTGGAACGACAAAACCAAGTGCCTCCGTTTGAGAGGAAAGGAAGACAACCCCGTGTGTGAATACCGACTGGCGTCTCCTCAGGCTAACCCCTATCTCGTCTTCCCTTCCATTGTGGCCGCTGGAATAGACGGAATCATAAGAAAAGTACGACGATTTGTGTGTTTGTTAGTTGCCTAGTGCGTTTGTTGAGAGAAAGAGACGGGAAAACGCGCAGTAAAATGTAACGGATGGCCAGCAAAAAAAAAAAAAAAGGTCATAATATTTGTAATATTTTATTATTGTTCGGTTTGTGGGTACAAACAGATATAGAGAGAGTGATGAAACGCACGTCTGAAAAGGCTCTTTGTTTTATTTTTGTCTTCTAGTACACTGTAACCGAAAAGTGACTACGGAGTAGAAGAAAGGTACTGTCTAAATCCCGATACATTACCTAACAGTTATAACAGAAGAGTTATGTATTGTACATTATTCCACTTAGTTAACATAATCGACCCGTTTAATAAAAAAACTGCACGGCTTTTATAATTTGATTTCAAAAGTAGCTGCTGTACATAGAATGTGTCCTACAAATACCTAAATTAATATATGATTCGATATGGGCAGACTGAAATACATTGACGCCTTTGTTTTTTACATTGACGCCATCGTAATTTATTGTATCGTAATCGATTTGTTAAAAAGATTGTGATACTGAAGAGAATTAGCGGCTTCCAGTGTTAGTCTTGTATTTCTCTCTGAAGTCTTTCTGATAGATCAATCAATTCTTATCTCGTCTCAAACATTTCACCCCCCCCCCTACCTCCCTTGCAAAAGCTTGAGATGCCAGACCCCGTTCTCCCTGTGCCCGGTGACCTCCCTTCCACTCTCAGTGCCCTGAAGAAGGGCCACGTGATCATGGAGGCCATGGGGGAAGAACTCGTCAACGCCTTCGTCTACACCAAGACAACCCACGAGATAGAGCCCTTGATGGCGGAGGAGACGACAAGCGACGAAGACATGCTCAAGAGAGAGATGGGGTTCTACTGAATACAGACTGTTCTTACCACAAGCCATAACTCATTAACGTGCAAACTTACTTTTAGAGTCCATTAAAAATTTAATTGTTAAATTCAGATAACAATAAAGTAAATATACCGGACGTTCTTCTACTTCTACTCCTACGCATGCCTACTCGAGCACATGGGGTAGTTGAATGTAGGATTTTCGTCTCAATGGGCAGTGGGCAGTTGTTTATTTTTACGTACATGTTCGTTTTTGTCTACACTGGAACGTAAGACTATCCCTTGTCTAACAGGCAGCCACTTGCCATTTTGGAAAGCACCCTTTGCTATATATACTAAGAGTGGCTTCAGCTTTGTGGAGGCCTCGGAATCGATTTTAAATGTTGCACGGTCAGCGATCATAGGTGACTACTGTTTTCGATTATTAAAACCGCCAAGAGTCTTAAACATGTGAAACTTCCACATGGGACTCTGAAATTGTTCGTCGTTATCCGAGAGGACAAAGTGTTCGATCCTACCTACTATACAAAAATCAGGGGGTGTAAAAAGTAGGAGACAAAAAAAAACGACGTGAGAGGGATCGAACCTCTTACCTCTGGTTTGTTAGGTGAACACCATACATGATGAGCTACTGAACCCCCATTCAGGATGATGAGATGTAGCTCCTCCGGCACGAGCGTAAGGAGAATGTTCCCTGGGGATTCGGACTGTAAAACTGAATGAGTCGATTGCTGGTGGGGAATTTTTCTTTAGAATGTAGGAGTTTTTACGCCCCATTCGTCACAGTTTAGAGAATCTTGGAGACTGACTTCGTCCTGCCTATAGGGATCAATGTGGCTAAGAGGGATGCAATGTCCAAACAGAAAAACCAATGCACTTGACAGAAATGCTCCTCGCACTGTAATTAGACTCAGGTTTTTGTGTGTTAAGGCAAAGCAACTGACTGCTTCACCACAGACGCCGGTTCGGTGACGTTACTGTTAACACGGGTGAGTTTTCAGCCGACGGTGACTTTGAATGCTCTTTGTTTTTAAAAAAAAAACACCAAAAAAAAACCAACAACTCTTTATTTGTCCAAAAAAGTTACCTTCTTGGGTGCCTCCACAGCTCTTTGAGGTCAACATGCATTCGAAATTTCAACATGTAAAATTGAAAATCCACTAGCATTCAATCAGGATCAATAATTCATAATGCTACACAGGCATGCCACGAGAAAGATACGTGGGACAAGAAAATGATCCTCAGTAGTAAGTTGTCTAAGATAACGGATCCTACATTTTGAAAAATATAAATTTGCATTTTTCAAACACACTACAGTTTAGGAAGTCACTAAACTTATGCGATCTTTTCTCGCTAATTTCACCTGTGACATCAGGCGACCCCCACCTCCTTAAAAAACAAATATCTTGGCTTCTATTTATACCAGATGGATACTTTGTCTTTCAAATTCAAGGCAAATGAAAAAGCTTAAAGAGAATACCAAGAACTCTATATGCCCAAGAATTGGAGAACACCTAATTCCGCCGTCCCGGGTCACAACAAATGTTTTCGACACCCCAATCGTCTTCTTTACCAGCACAAATTTTTCGTGCATAGCTGACTGTCAATAATTCCATTTCAAAATATTTCGAAAAAGATATACTTATTGCTGGGGTTTTTTCTCTGCAATCAAACTTGATCTTTTTACCCATAAGAATTTTTTTTTAAATGTTTACTCTCACATCACGCCACATAATTATTGTTATACTGAACGTTATGCAGATGGATGGATGGATGGATGGATGGATGGATGGATGGATGGATGGATGGATGGATGGGCACGTTGACATATAAACAGATAAAATAACAATATGTGTATTTTTTCTCATCCGATTTAAATCTGTACAACACGCAAACGGACACAAAAGGAAACTGTCAAAACAAAAACAGTAAGCAGAGTTTATAAACATTTCCGTCTAACATTTTGTTTATCTTCCATATCGGTTCGTTGCACATTCCACAATACTGGCAAGGAGTTTAAAAAGTAATGAAAGTACATGATTTGCTACTTCACAGTGGTTTTTATTGGTTTTAAATTGACTTTTTAAAGCTCTCCAACCAACCCGCGTTTTAAAAAAGCCCTGTTGAGGACAGTTGCGGTACGAACGAACCAAGGCCGCCAACACGCAGTCCAACATGTTACTAATCATGGGAAGGCGCACCAAGAGCATCGAAATATATCCCTCTAGGCTAAGAGGATATTAAATCTAAGAAAAAACAAATAGTGACCACTCCCCCCCCCCCCCCCCCAGCAAAAAAAAGATGAAACGGAGCAGCCCTACATCAAATGTCTGGAGTGAAATTAGAGCACGCTTGTTGAAAGAAGCTACCAATTTAAATGCCACACAGTAAAATAAACCCCCTACCACCCCTCCCTTCTTACCCTCCACCCCCACCCCCACCTCCAGTCCACCTTTTCCCCTATTACATATTACTGTTATTTAACAATTTGATAACCAGCCCAAATTCAAAGTCCATCTCCAATTAACCATTCGCTATGAGAAGTGACTGGAAAGAAATCCTGTGGGACTTATATTTGATCAACCCTCGACATCCCAGACTATGGGGCGGGTGTGCAGACCTCTACAAGAAGCTGCTACTCTTTAATATTTCTAAAGAAACAAGGAAAAAGAAACTCTTAGAAGCTAACAGATATTAACTGGCCCCATCGGAAAACCTTTTTTATCAAGACAATTAATCCTCGGTCACCACAGTTTATCAAAGAGCACTGTTTAAATTAAAACACTTTTTAAAAGATCCCGTGGTGCCACCAATGTTTGCCATTTCCACGATTAGTTGGGAGAACAAAAAAGACTCCATTAAACCGCTTTGAGCACCAGTTCTTTAACAAAAGATACCTTTTATAAAGCGGAAATTTGTGGATAAGTATAGATCTACTCCTCACAAAACTGTCAAAATCTAGTACAAGTGTCAGATTTTAAATTTTGTTCCGTAGCTTTATCAAAAACGCCCATAACTTCACCGTTTTTGTCAACTCCCTTGTCATGTTGAGGTTCAGTAGTCTTGATGTCCGTATCGGCACCGAAACTGTCTGAGAGCACTTTGCCTTTTGTCTCGTCCAAAGTTAAGGTAAGAACCGTGCAGACTCCTAATAAGACTGTCATGACGCCATAGGCAACAAGTGGCATATCATCAAAATTCACGACAAACGGAGCCGCAATACCACCGACTCTGGCACCCATATTCGCGAAGCCGTAACCCAGGCTTCTTACCACAGTAGGGTACAGCTCGGAGGTCCAGATCTGAGCATTTGACCACGCTGAGGCAACCATCATTTTAGCGATGAGACTGAGGCCATTGACCGCTGTATCGCGAATGGGTTCTGGGGCTAGAAGATAAGCTAATAAGCACCCTGCAGAAGGTAGGACCGACAGTGTCATGAAACCAAAGGTGGTCACCTTCCGACCTAATCGGTTGTTCAGAGCGAATGTTGTCATTCGAACAGGAAGTTCCATAACTGCCAGTAGAAATATATTCAGATACAGGTTACCTGAGAGGCTTGAGACGCCAAATGAAATTCCGTAAAACGAAAGGGATAAGGTGGACCAGAACAGCCAAAGAACCAAATTGAGTTTGATCATACGAAGGTTTCGAAACAAGTCAAAATATGTGTAGCTCCTTGCAAACTCGCGCGAATGATTCTCTGTTTCAATGATACTCTGCAAAACCTTCATTGTATCTAATGGAACCTCCTTTCCATTTGATCTAGCTATTTTCTCAAAAACCTTTTCGGCGTCTTTTACATTACCCTGTAGTGTTAGCCATCTAATACTTTCAGGGACAAAGAACCAACCTATCAAAGACGGTATCGATAAAATGCCGCAAGCTAAGTGAAGTTGTGACCAGTTGTCTAGAATATAAGCTGCGGCCGAGAATAGGGCCACGCCCAGTGACCACGATGGAACAATGGAGAGAATAGGACGCCACTTGATTGGCAAGAATTCCAGAGGGTACGTGAAGGCGATGACTACGATAGCTCCTATACCAATACCAATGAAGAATCTCATGACCACGAACATTATCCATGACACAGAGAACGCAGCTCCCACGTTGATGATAATGTGGTACAAATTGAAACCGTAGAGAGATTTTTTCCGACCGAATGTGTCGCTCATCTGTCCTGCAAGAAGTGCCCCTAACAAAACCCCGCCCATCTGCACGGATGTGATGGTTGGCTTGACCCATTTCATGTCACAGACCAGGTTCCACTCAGTGATGACGGTTTGGGCAGGACCAGAAAAGGCGTAACTGGAACAGACCGTGCCGTTCACTTCGCAGACGTCGAGGCTTTGGTTAGTGTTTCGGGTGACGTTCACTGAATCCTCCACAATGCAGCGGAAGGACGGGATGAGCCCTGCGTAAGACATCTGAAGCATGCTCCAACCCGTGAAAAACTGGCAAGAGATGACGCTGATGATGAGGAGAATCTGAAACCTCCCCATCCCACCTAGGTCATCGATGAGGTCCTCAAAAGTTCTCATGGTAACCATAGAGCTTGGGTTCTGGTTAGATAAAGGGAGGACAGCAATTAATTGTAAACAAACTGTTGTTTCTTTCGAAATACCTAATATTGTTTTGTGTGTGCATTCAGGGTGTGATATTTATGATGGTAACGAAACAAACGACGTAAGACGAAAATTAAGAACACAGCCAAGTTAATTGAAACAACTGTGAAGCTGACAACAGGTCATCCGTTGGAGCTGGCCCCTTAGTCTGTAGATCGGACGTACTCTTAAATTCAGCAACAATATGTGAGGCAGCGTGGTGGAATCAGGCTCTCGTCAATTTTTTGGCATATAGAGTTATTGGTATCCTCTTAAAGCTTGTTCGCTTGTTTTTATTTGGATAAAAATATATTCTTTTATCTTGAATACAAGTCGAGATATTTGGGAATGAAGGAAGTGGGGGTCATCTGTTTTCAGAGGTAAAATTAGTGAGTAAATGGCCGCCAAAGATTAGTTATTTCCTTAGCTTAAGAGTCCGTGGTAAGTGAAAATTTACAATTTTTGTGCGTTTAATCAACGTTTTTCAGAAAAATCCTCACAGAAATGAGTTCTTTAATAGGCATGAAAGGTGTTGAGCTGAAAAACAAAAATTTCAAAAAAATTCACAACCCTGCGGAAAAATGCAAGTTTCTTCACTTTGATTATTTTGACGAGAACCTGATTCCACCACGCTGCCTCACATATAGTATGAGTATTTCGGGGCGCTTAGTTTTAGTTCACGCTCCGGTACCTACAGAAGAGGTCTAATTCTGAAACACATCTCGTTAAATGAGATAAAGACGGCGCGTTAGGGAGCCCTCAGAATAATATGAACTTGCAACTAAACAGTAGATACCCTATTTTACTGATACATAATATACTTGAATCTTTCAATAATTAATCACACTCCTACTGACCCTAGACAAGAAACTGGAAATTTTGTCCAGGGCTGCTTTGTTGCTAGATCTAGATTCCTGAATATGGTGTAAGTTTTTAGTTGCTTTTAAAATAGGGTTTGATGTTTTTTGTATTTTTAAAAATTAAGGTTGTGTTTTGTACAAAGAGCTCTTATAGAAGCTGTTGGACTAAACAAATTATAAGGCTAACTTAATTTGATAGATATGACGGCACATGTGTTTCTAATTTTAAACGTGTTTCTGAGGCCCATGTAAGAAAGGTAATCGTGGAATCTCCCCACCCAAATAAAAGTGAGCAAATTACTGTCCTTGTACAACATTATCTTTATGAGCAGAAAATAGCTTAACAACAGTAATATTTTTACCCCTTCTCTTTTAAGGTATCAAAACCAATAGATCTAACTGTTTCATGTAGTGATGTACTAGCAATTCCCTTAGAAGTTCAGTTTAAGGTCACACTTACTGGACATAACAAGTCGAGTCCGTAACCTAGTAGTGAACGAGATCGAAATAGAACAATAATTTTTTTAAAGCACTTTAAAGACATTTGAATATTTCTGACTTTAAGAGCCGTCCATGAAAGGCAAGATAAGATTTTTTTGTTCAGGTAAGGAGCGCTGGTAGCTACCATTGTTTTGTAAAATATATCTTAGGCTAGTCCGAGAAGAATTGCGTGACTCATACCAACACGCTATGGCTTCTTTTTAGAAACAGGTCCTCCTGCGTACATGTTATCACTACTAATCGCACATCACAGCGGCAACACGTTAAGTCGGACAGGACCTACTCGAACCATGGTCGTTGTATCTTTTGTTTTCCACTTTTCCATATCAATCTTCTCGTACGTAGCGTGATTCTCGCCTCATGTCCAGTTGTTTCCTTACTTATTCTTCTTCCTCACTTCACCTTGTCTGTTTCGTCTAAAGCGTAATTTTCCCCTTTGTTCTTCCTTCATTAGTGTCCTGTGATCGTAACTTGGTCCTTTCTCTTTATTACTGATTACTGTGGCTAAAACACACAAAGAGAGAACGGTTCCCATGCTCTCCAAGCTTCTTTCGTGCAACGACTTACTTAAAAATTTTCCGAGCTCAGCTTCGCCAATTTCTGCCATTTGAGAGAATTGCTCAATTGAACTTCGGCTAAGAGAGAGGAATACGTCTTCATTGTTTGGACAGCTCTCTCAAAGATCAGTTGAGAAGATATTACAAAAAGCATCTAGAATATAAATCAGTGCCTGCCTAAATGTATCTCAGTAGGGGGGAATTTCAACCTATGATTTTTCCAATTTTTAACAAAAAGCGTAGGAAGTAGGAAGCACCCATTTACGACACGTCTGTTATTCATTTGAAATGTTCAAATTTATTTCACAAAGTGTTTATAATTAGACTAGCTTGTAGCTTGCGAACAGAGATTAGTTTCTTTCTAAAACAATTATTGGATTTCACCTAAAGTTAGAGATAGTACGTGAAGTTTCCAGGCATACCATTCTGAATATTGAGATATCGGTAGCAAATAGAGACAGAATTGCCAGTGTCTGCTCTATTTGACTTATATTCGCTGTAAGATAATCATTCTCACGCAAAATAAACACCAAGCAGCTTACATTTTTTCACAGAACCAACATCTCTCGATTCTGAGGAAAGCTCCTCAGAGCGTAGTTTAGTCCTCTTGACAAAACATTTTTTTTAATACAGAAAAGCAAAAATCTGAACGAATCATAGAAAGATATTTCACTTGCTCTAAGTTTAAGAAACATCAGACTAATTTAGGCTCTATGAACACTGTAAACGTTGAATATGGTACAACGGTATCAATCTACTTTTAAACTTTTTGAAACAGCAAGAAAAATTCCCTTAATTACGACTTCACATCAAATAAATAAGAGTTTGGGACAGAGCAGAAGAATACATTAAACAAATTTCTTAAAATGAGTTATACATATTTACTTTAGTATCGAGACCTCCTTACCAACAGACAATGCCGGTGACAAACTGAAGAATGAAACGCTATCAGCAACAACACCTCTTGATCTCCTTCTGGTCTCGTTTATATTGAGGTGGGGAAAGTGAAAGGAGAGGGGACGGTAGGGAGGAAATGGGGTGGTTCGTAAGGTCGGGGATAACTGCATGTCTTTCCAGCCAGTCCTCCATTTTGTATCTGCAGCATCAAAATTTGTCCTAAACGATAGTCTTCATTCCCTGCCTGCTGTTGTTTCCCTTTCCGTTTAGTTGTCTGATTGACTTTTTGTCCGTCTGTCTTTCTCATTCTCTCCCTCTTTCTCTCTTACTCTCTGTCTCTACCTTTTTGTCTGTTTGTCTGTCCGCCCCCTCCCCCCCCTCTCTCTCTCTCTCTCTCTCTCTCTCTCTCTCTCTCTCTCTCTCTCTCTCTCTCTCTCTCTCTCTCTCTCTCTCTCTCTCTCTCTCACACCCGTCTTCCTTTCCCTCTCATTAACTCTGTCTCTCTGTCTCTCCGCACCCCCCCCCCCCCCATTCCATCTGTTTCTCATTGCAAAACACTCAACTATACCGGGAATTTCAGGTATCATCTCTTCCGGAGAGAGTGACGTATAAGGACCTGCCATTGTTTATGGTCTCTTGCTGCGCTCGTGTATTTTGTCATATTTAGCCAAGTCATGCTTTGATACTGCCGATCCACATTGTGCGGTGTTCACCCTCAGCTCTTTCATTTTTTTATTACTTTTTTGTGGTAAGTGTTTTACGGCGCTCGCAACTGCATAATGTCATATGAGCTCGCGGGACACATTAAATATTTTCATTTGGAAGGAAATTGTAAAACTTGCCCGGGTGCCGACCGAAGCCTACTCCTATCGATTTTGGACCACCAAGGGATCATTAACGTGCGCAACTTGCATACGGGACCTCCGAGATTTTTCACCCTCAGTGTAAATCTTTCCTTCCATAATATCAAGGGTGTGGCTGAGAGACAGCAGTAAGAAGGAGCCAAGGAGTAGCAGTAGAGAGGCTGCAGAAAGAGTCAGGAGCCCAGAGAGGGGCAAACCCTTGGCTCTTGTGCTCCACATCTTGCTTTCGAGTGCATAATTTGGTTGAATGTTATTTTGCATTTGCTGCTCTTATATTTATTTCTTTTTCCAGTATGTCTTTATCTTTGATTGTTGCTCCAAGACATTTTAACTGATTACTAACTTCGTTTGTTTTATAAGCATTCACATCGACACTTGCAGTACTTTTTTCCTACTTTCAAAATGTTAGAGATAATATTTTTGTTTGTGTTTACAAGCAGGACAAAGGGCTTGAAGCAAGGAATAGTGAGAGCCCTCAAAGCAGTCGTACATTTTACACACGTACAAAATTACTATTTTTTAACACAGTTTTCTTGCGTGCAACGGTGAAGCGCCTAACCACAACACCACATACACAGGTTTCGTTGGTATTATGTTTGTTTGAGTAGAGATCTCGCGACTGCATAAGGTCATATGAGCGCCAAGGGGTGGATGTCAACAGAGAAGTCCTTACAGGGAATCAGACTTACTCTGCTCACCTCTTTAGTTTCAACAGCACAAAGTCTGCTTCGACTATCAAGGTGCCCCGGAAATAGCGGGTCACAAGAGTGTGACAAACATACAAAAGAAGTAGAGCAAAAATGACGAGTTAGGATTAGGAAAGAAAAGGCAACAGTTCCCTGTTGCAGGTCAGGCACAGGTTATGAACATGACATTGATGAATCAGCCCATTTACAGTTACAATTCTACTATGCATAAAAACTCGAGATGTTAATG